CGACGCCGCGGTCCCCGGCGGCGACGCCCCCTCAAAGAGCCGCCTCGATTCCGGACTAACGCCTTGGGGCCCTCAACATTCTCTTTGATGTGACGCGCGGTTTGAATTTCACGTCCAGAAAGGGACGTCGTTTCAATACCCAAGAGAAATTTATCAATTAAAGTTTATGGTCATTTCAAACCTAAAGATTATCTTTATATATACAGGGTGTTTCAAAATTGCTCTTCTTGGGTGCCGATAGACGTTGAGTAAACAGATTTCATCCAACCCCGCACAAAATAATCTAATGGTGTTAGATCAAGAGACCGACATTTCGACCAATCCATTGGTTACCATATGTTCTGTTTAAATAATCAGTGGTAAGATGAGAAAAGTGAGAAGGGGCACCGTTATGCATAAATCACATTCTCTACCTATCAGCAATCGGAATGTCTTCTAGGAGCTTATACAAATTATTTTGCAAAAATTCAAGTAAGATATTCCAGGAGAAGAAAGAAGGGGCGATGAGTCACCAAGAAGACCACACCAGACGTTTAAGGGAAAAGTATGTTGGTAATGAGTAGAAGCAGTCGTATGAGGGTTTTCTTCGTGCCAAATATGGGTGTTTCGAAAATTAATAATCCCGTTTCTGGTAAAACAAGATTTGTCAGTAACTAGGAGGCAGCTCAAGAAGTTAGGGTTTCGTGTGTGATGACTGTTCTTACTTTTTGGATTGAGGTGTCAGGTAAATTAAAGAATAAATCGTTTACTTTTCTTTATTGTTCCTCTTTGCATATGTCAGCAACTACTCTACTGCAACATATGCCAAATGTTGACCTACTTAGAGTCAACTTACAATTCTAGTACAGTGTACATTGTCGAATTAACCACTGGCAGAAATTTCTGTGCTTGTTATAGTCTTCTGGTAATAAATCTTGCACATGTAATGTGATATGGATGCAACTGTTGCTCACACAATGTTCGCCACACGCTTGAACTCGAAACATGGAAACGAAGTGACAATCTTTTGGTGTTAGGAAATAACTGAACAGCATCGAATATCAATTCTTCAACGTTAGCAGTTCGTCGAAACCTTTGTTTATTCGTGTAAATTTTAGGTTGCCAGGTTCCCTAAGCCAGATTTTACGATTAAACTCTACCTTCAAACAACAGCAGCTCTATTTTTATGTACCTCACCATAAATTAACAACATGTCTCGGTAATAAACTAATTTGGGACATATGTATATATGAACTTTTTTGTTTATTTTGTGCTGAAGAATACATTCCTAAAATAGTGCCGTGCAATTCTGAAACACCTATACATATATATATAGTATATGATCAAAAATTTCAAACTCCGGTGCTGTACAAAGTAGGGGTTGGAACACACTTAGGTCGATACGTTATCGAGGATTGAAACGTAACAATAAAACAGTTAATAGACGAGGTGTCATGTGCCCGGGGGCGAGCCGCGGGGTGCATGGGGTGGCGTCCCCAGCGTCGATATGGCTAATTTGAACCGCGGGTAGTCGGGTAGTTGGGTCCTCAGCCACGGTCCAGTTATTGGATCAGAATGGGCCAGCTGTTGCGGAACACTTGCTTTTTTATCGGTTTAAGTTCTCGATTTTTTAGCCGTTCGATGTAGGGGTGTGCTCAAAAGCCGCTCTTTGTCTGAAACCGTGAAGTTTTTTTGTTAAAAACGTCCATGCAACTATTCCATCTACCGCGAACGTAGAAAAAGTTCATTCACTTTCCACACTCTATTGAATAATTCATGTATCGATCCGGCAGAGTCTGACCTTTCTACGTTACCAACATTAAGACCCCCTAAAATAGTAACTTTGTCAAAATAAAGTTATCAACAAAATTTTTTAGTTTATATATATTTTTTTGAAAATCTATTGATGTCGGCCATGGAGAAAGAGAAAGAGGGAGAGAGAGGAAACGGATTCTCCACCATTAGCGGATATTAAAGGGGTGGAGGCGAGTCGTTCCTCGAATAACGATCGGCAGGGCGTCTCCACCACCACCTGGCGTCCGCGGCGCCCCCTTCAGGTGGACGTCGGGCAGGCGCCGGGCGTCGCGCCGCCAACGCGAACTCTCGGCCTTGGCCTGTCGCGGCGCCACCGTTGCATTTCACTCGCGCATCTGCCTTGCAAATGAGCCGCTTATTTATGGGATTTATGAACTTCAAACTTCATCGCGGTTTCTCCAACCGCGCGAAACATACTTCAACCCCCAAAAACCCCTTTCTATTTCATTTTTAAAACGTTTCTCTTCAAAAAATAACATTTGCATTATTCCGTTTAGGGTCGATATTGACTCCCTTAGATGGGATGAGGATTATTAATACATCCGGACTAATTGAGGTCGGGTTAATCAAGTTCGTCCTTCGCGAATTTGATTGTTTCGATTACTGCGTTGGGTCGTTTTCGGGTTCTAAGCGCCGTTGGCAACGCCGATGAGGAACATCGAAGAACCTCTGCCAAATGCGAGAACCTTCGTCAACGACCCCGAGACCGGCTGCGTCTTCTGCTAATGGACGGATTAACGAATAACAACTGTCATAAAGTGCGATTGTTACCGCTTGATAAGACGAGGTTGATGGTGGCCGAAATTGGCTTAGGGTTAGCCTAATTAGTTGCATATGGGAATGTTTTAAATTGTGTTTAAGTAAATGTTGAAAAATGAAACGAAAAATTCTCTTCCTTATCTACCCCCTTGGCCGCAACCGATGTTTAGCATTCCAGGAACGTCTTCACCTTGTATTGATTGCCGCAACCGCTGTACAGTGCTGGTGCAGAGAGCGCTTTGCCAAATTTCGTGTGGATTCTTATTGCCTACTTGCAGTAACTTTTTCTTGTATAAAAAACAAATAAGAATACATTTTTTCCACCTAAATAAAATAAACGTTAAGAAATAATTGTTTTAAATAAAAAATGTAGCGGAGAGCTTTTGGTGGAAATAGGAGTTGGGGTGTTCATTCCCCAAATTAATCGATAAGCTAACAAGGCAACTGATTGGCAATCCTTTCCCCCCTTTGTGCGAACACAACATACGATTTGCAGTAAAACGAATTTAATATAAAAATTCGCCCCGCAATAATGACAGGGGGCGGCGGCTAATGGCGGCACGGGGCGGTGCGGGGCTCGGGGGACCTTATTGGATGTTTCTCGTCGAATTTGGCATTTGTGCGTCGGTCCCTTGTCATGCAAATGGAGCCCGCGGGCGCCCCGTTCACTTAAGTGAGTATTGTCGGGGTGGAAATACCTCGGTTTTTTTGCTTTTTTTGTTCCTTCATTGTACATTGTTTTTGTCCATCTTGTTAGCAATTAGAAAACGTCGTGTAATTTGTATCACGAACCATTCGTTTGGATACTTGGCATAACCTTCTCCTCGTCGGCCTTTTTAGCGCGTCCTCGAGAATGTAAATAATCGTGGCGACACGCAATCGAGCCCTTACCGCGTTCCTTGGATTCCGGTGCAATCGAAATTCCAGGTTGGATGATAATATATAATTCCGACTGTCTCTCTTTGGGTCAACAGAAATACCACCACGACGAATAATAACACTTATTATGTTATTAATACTGTTTCATAAAAATTTAAAATTTTTAATTTTAACTTTTTCTTAGATGTTTAATTTAACGAAAAAATAATGATACGTCGTAAGATGTTCCAGTTGAGATATAGGTGCCGTTTCGACATTCCGGCGACACAAATCGCCACGAGGCGTCTACCGAAGCCTCTAATTCGGTAATTGACGGTCTCCGATGGCCGTTTCATTACCGAAACGCAGCAAAATATACCCCTCGAGTGCACTCGGGGGAACCTGCGTTAGCGGTTTTAAATTATATGCTTGCTACGAAGCCGCCTGATGCCGTTTTAAGCGGACCTCTTTTTTTCCCTGCTCAAAACGAAAGACTACCTCGATTACCACTTTAGAATTTACCACAAAATAACCTAACACTACTTTATTATATTCTATATACAATGAATGTTACTTAAAATGCAATATACAAAAATATATTTCCCGAATGTTTTTAGTTCTAGGTCTAGTATTAGTTCTACTTTTACACTAGCACTATCACCAAAACTAACACAAGACCTAGAACTAGAAACATTCGGGTTTAGCCGTCTTGACAGACGTGCGGCTTTATCCGAATGTTTCTAGTTCTCGGTCTAGCGTTAGGTTTAGTTTTGTACTAGCACTATCACTAGAACTAACACAAGACCTAGAACTAGAGTCATTCGGGTTTAGCCGTCTTGAGAGACGACGACTAAACCCGAATGTTTCTAGTTCTAGGTCTAGTGTTAGTTCTAGTTTTACACTAGCACTATCACTAGAACTAACACAAGACCTAGCACTAGAATCATTCCGGTTTAGCCGTCTTGAGAGACGTGCGGCTAAATCCGAATGTTTCCAGTTCGCGATCTAGTGTTAGGTCTAGTTTTGCACTAGCACTATCACTAGAACTAACACAAGACCTATAACTAGAATCATTCGGGTTTAGCCGTCTTGAAAGACGTGCGGCTAAATTCGAATGTTTCTAGTTATAGGTCTAATGTTAGTTCTAATGACAGTGGTAGGTAGCGCTAGTTAGCATAAGATATCACTATGTTGCATATTTTTTTAATATTTTTATTGAACTGAAACTAGAACTAACACTATTCCTGCCTATAACCAGAAACATTCGGGTTAAGCCGTGCTTCTCGTAAGACGTCACCTTTTCCAAGCAAACTTTTCTTTTGCAAAACTACTCAATGCCACTATTAACTTATGTTGCATTTTATGTAGTATTATATGAAATTTGCGGTATATATTTTTTCCCTTAATCGATAAGCAAAAACTTTTTCATTTCGCCTCAAGGTTTTTATCTTCCCCTCTTTGCTTTTCTATTCCCCCATTAACTCAAAACCGACGACTGATTGACTAATTACTTAAACTTTTCCGCTTTCAACTCCTTGTCATCGTAATGAATTGTTAATGAAAAAAAATTTTACGAATAGTTTATATACCTTTAACACGTGGTTAGTTTCCCCCACTCCATCCTTTCCGGACTGTCACTCGTTATAGGTCATCACTCTCACTCTTCCTAGTAACCGAATCTCTCCTTCCTTTTCACATCTGCACACGTTCGAGTGCGGCGCGCGGAAATTAACACGTGGTTAGGAAAAACGCGCGTTTTAACGTTGTCATCGCCTGGTTCCTGTAAAGGTCCCGACCTGCTGACTCTGCGGCTGACTTGAGAACACTGGATATATGGTAACTACAATGGCCGCCTCTCGCTCCGCGTTGAATTTCTCCGGAGCACGAGACAGCGTTTGCATGTTAACGTATTGTTGTTGTCTTCCTCTTGAGCGTGGTGCGAACCGATAGCGCTCGCCTTATCGTACATACAAAATGACTACTTTCTATGCAAAAGTATGAATGAGATACGCGCCGTGGGTACGTATACATGCCATGTGGCCCGATTTCGACTATACAGGGTGGATTATTTTATTATTAAATTTCAAAAAAACTTGAAATTACTTAAATTATTCTTTATTGCGTTTTATTCTTACCTCCTTATGAATATAGTGTAAATTAAACAGTTTTAAATCAATTCTAAACCGAATTACACATTTATTTATGAAACGATTTTTCTCCAATATTATTTTTAGTATATACAAAGTAACTTATTGCTCGCCCTGTATATCATCTCCCACGCCACCAAAGATATTAGCAATTGTAATCAGCAAATCCCAGTGGGCACCCTCCTGGTTTCGTCTCACTCAGCAAAGTCCTCTCTTCGTTCTACTTCTATCGTTTATGATTATTTTATGCGCCAGCCTTCCCATTAACGAACCACGTAAATATTTACGAATCTAGGGTATACAATAACTTTCGCTCTTTGCACGATTTTGCATTTACCTTTCTTTATAATAAATTGTAAAGAATTTTATAGTTAATTTGGTTTTAGATTTGACGAGTTTTTAATCGGATTTTATTTATTGCAGTCCGTTATCGTTGTGTGAGCTCGGGGGTAGGTTTGAAAAGGGTGCGTAAGGTTGACTGCGGGGGTAACGTGGAAATCCCCAAGGCATTATTTCACACTAACCGAGAAGCCTGATCGGATCTATTTTGTCTCTCCTGACAGCCCTTATTTTAAATATCCGCCCTCCCTTAATAAACCGCCCTCAACGGACCCGAAGGGCTTAAAGCGGTGACGGTATTGTAAAGAAGCCGTTGTACCTTTTTTTTATACATTTTCGATTTCATCGCCGCGGCGTCGTTTAAGACATAATAGAACAATCGACACTAATAATCAGTATCGAATCACTTGTTACGTATCAATTACGGCGTCACGGGGGCGATATCAAAAGAAGTGAACTGAGACGAAGTGAACCAATCCATTATTTCGACGGGTTACGAGTTGAGTTTTCGCAAGTCATCGTTCAGGTAAATACAGGCGGTTTAGTGAGAGTGCGAGTGAGAGGTTGCGGCTCATCTCTGCGTATCATTACAATTACTAACTTGACGGATGCTAAATTGAGATGTCAATTAGCGGCGGTGGTCTGCGGAGGGAGCGCTAAATACTCGCCTGATTATAAACTGCTAGGTTTGCCGGTTAGATTTTGTGGTTGATTCGCACTGCCACAATACGCAATCAGGGCTGGGGTTGGGGGTGGCTTTTAACCGGCGTAATTTCGTTAAACTTTAATTTCCTATGTGCACGTTTCGGACTATTGTTGATAAATCCCCTCTGAGGTGGTGGTAAATTAACATAAATAAAATATATGGTATATAACCAACGCTGAGTAAAGGAAAGTAGTGATATTTGTCACAAGATGACGCGCCCCGAATTATCTAACCAGAAGAATCGAATGGCCAGAAATGAAAAATTGATGTAATACTTCAACCCTCGGCCCCAGTCTGGCTTCTCGGCGTCGGACTGGAGATTGACAGCGGTTAATGTGGCCTCGTCATATCTGGTCTGAAGGACAGAAATGCATTTCTCCGGGCGAGCGGATTTCCTATTACGCGGCCGGGTCCAGATACGGATCGCGGCGGGATGGGGCCGCGGGCGCAGGCAGCGCCACCCGTGATTGGATCACTCGCGCGCCACCTGACGGCCGCCGACGGTCGTTTTATTGCGCCGCTCAGAGTGTTTCTGTGATTTCGACGCGCGATAATCGAAATGGATTTTCCTACCATCTGATGGCCGGGCTAGACACCTCCTTCTGCCCGCCAACAATGACGTATTGGCAGACAGAGGCCACCGTAGAAGAGGAACTCTTTTCTTTCTCATACGATCGGACCCGGATTACACTCTTTTTATTCTCCCGATGATGGCTCATTTAAACGTATTGTTACCAACTGTCGGAGGTTTCCAGATTTGACCCTTTCTTTCTGTCACTTTTCTCCGATAAAATCATCATTTATTTTAAAATGAACCAAAGCCCTAATCGCGTTCCCTTCTTCTTATTCAGGTTCAGGTAAATTGAAGTAATCGGATTCGTGAAACACACGTCGATCGAATTCCCGGAGCTAGCTGAATTCCTGGGTGAATATTTTAAAGCTAAATTTCCCTTCCTTGCGTCCACAATAAGGCTATTAGCGTAATAGACCGACGAAGGGCGCCTCGGACCATGTCCGGACTGCGAAAAGGCATCCCGGGACAAATTGGCGTCCGGTCGGGATCACTACGTCCTGAGACGTTGTGACCAGCGGTAATAAAACCCACGTCTTTCTTAAATTTAATCTAACTCGGTTCCTCCACAGACTAAGAATTTTTCCCATTCGAATCCCACCACTTGGCTACCTCTGGTATCAATAAGTCGACGTCGGGGAGTTCCTGAGGGACTTAGCCAAGGGTCACGCCGGATAAACCCCGTCGGAATGTCCCCTTTTAATGGTCATTCTTCTTTTGCGTGTTTGCTTGTGCTAAAGTTTGTTTAGATCTGCTTGTATTTCTAAACTTTCTTATAATTTACTTGATTTTATTAAGGAAAATTAATAGTAACATATCATAATACATCATTTATCAACATTATTCTGTTAGGTGGTGGATGCTGACTTCTAATCCTCTGTCCCATTATGTCCTAATGATGCTCAAGACTTGAATATTAACATAATTTAAATATTCACTAACAATATGTGCCGCATGTGGTCTCGCATTATCCTGCATAAGAATGAACCCATCGCCAATGTAAGGTGCAAAAGGTATCACAAAAGGTTCTAAAATGTCTGTTATGTATCGTTCAGAGCTGTTAAAGATATTCCATCCCATACCATCACTGAACCGTCTCCGTACAATGTGGTTTCACATGTGGAATATCTTTTGTACACTCTTGGATAACGATCAGAACTTACAAGGCAAAACCGTGACTCATCCGTAAATAACACCTGCTCCCAATGATGGATATCCCAATCCACGTGCGTTCTTGCAAAAGCCAATGTGTTTCTTCGGTGGTTTGCAGATAATCTGGGACCAGTAGCTGCTGCCCGAGGTCGTAAATTTTGAGTACGAAGTCTTTTTCTTATGGTATCTTGACTAACAGCAGTGCCATGAACCTCGCTTAGTTGTATTTGGAGACTTCGTGCAGTAGTGAACCGTTCCCTAAGTACTCGAAGCATCAAAAATCGATGTCGATCTCAGCATTTCAAAATTGTCTTTGAGTATTTTATTTAATATCTTTCCCATCACTTATCCGCATGCTTTTTGCTGTTGCTAAAGATTACCTCTGGTGACTCATAACATTATGCATGACATCTGTAAATGTATACATTCCAACATGTTCTTTTCCATCATGTATTAGCTTCGTTTTTGATATCTATGAAAATATGTGGATTGGGTTGGGTTGGGTTTATACGAGTAATGTTCTTTCGTTGTTGCACCGGTCAAATGATGGGACGAAGAAGGCTATGGGATGGTAGTATACTGGAAGAAAGCGGTAAGAGAAATAGAAGCAGACAGTCATGGATGCAGAAGGTAATGCTCCAGGTAATAGGTAGCTGAAGGAGAAGGATTTTGAACTGGATGGAGAAAGAAGTGGCAGTTTGGCTCTGAAGAAATGGTGGTTGCGGAGAAGACGAGGAAAGGGATTTTTAGTGGGTCGAAGACCCAATTATGGGCTCCAACCCTACACTATGCAGCCGCTCAAGACCGTCAGGCAGGATGTCTGTTAGCAGATTTTTCCCAATCTGGTTAAAATAAAAAAGAAGGGTTGGGTTGAGTTGGGTCGAGCGATCTTTCAACATCGTCCTTGATACTCCTTAACATATTTGATGGTATTCCTTAACATCATCATTGACTCTAAACATCATGTACAATCTCTCAGTACAATATTAACATATCTCAAAACTGTCTTGAAACTCTTAATAACGTATACATTTGTTTTGAGAGATGAGGTAAATCTATTTTGTCATATATTATTCATTTCGTGTTAGTTGATGTTTTGGACTTGTTGTTTATAAGAATGTGGGGTTAACATGGAGATAATTATAATATTTTTATTGACTGAGTTTGTTGTGAAAAATTTTCTGCGTCTTAACAAGATTATCTTCCTAATTTGTTATCGACTTGATATAAACAGTTATGTTTCAAGAATTTACAGTTACCTGGTTGAGATCGATAAAAATTAATAAAGGAACGTGTAAACGTAATTGAACATGGTCACAAAACTCAATTAATGTATACATTGTAGCAAGGAAACGGTGGCGCGTTGACCAACTGGATCAGACGTCAACTGCAACACCGGCAGGATTCACGCCAAATTGCGGAAACCGGACCAAATAATTAACTGTCATTATTTAACCGGTTCACGTGATAAATTATCTATTTAATATTAATCAATTGGCGACGCCGATTTTTCGTTTAACCAAAAATTGTTCGTGTTTCCGCTATGTTGCAAATTATTCTAGTTATTAAGGCTGTTACACAATGTCAATGTAAATAGAGTTATATAGAAATTACTCCGTTAAAATTTATGTAATTATAGCAAATACACTTTGCATTATTGATTTAGACTAAATTTTATTTGGAACATTAGTTGTGAATCTTAAGATAATGAGTAATAACAAGTACTAAGTATGTGTTAATGGAAGCGAGCCTTGACCTGCCTAGTTCAGCTGCGCATCGCTTATATAATTAATTAATAGCTAGCGCCTGGGCGGGGCAATTTATAATTCGCCGATTAATTACGGCGTAATTGATATTGCCGCGTACATGCAACGATCCGAGTTGCGACCAATTATTTATCAGTGCCTAGAGA